GTGTAGAGTGTAGAGTGTGTAGAGTGTGTAGTGTGTGTAGAGTGTGTAGAGTGTGTAGAGAGTGTAGTGTGTGTAGAGTGTATAGTGTGTAGTGTGTGTAGAGTGTAGAGTGTGTAGAGTGTGTAGTGTGTGTAGAGTGTAGAGTGTGTAGAGAGTGTAGTGTGTGTAGAGTGTGTACTGTGTATGGTGTGTAGTGTGTGTAGAGTGTGTAGTGTGTAGAGTGTGTAGTGTGTGTAGAGTGTGTAGAGTGTATAGTGTGTAGTGTGTGTAGTGTGTGTAGAGTGTGTAGTGTGTATAGAGTGTGTAGTGTGTGTAGAGTGTGTAGTGTGTATAGAGTGTGTAGTGTGTGTAGTGTGTGTAGAGTGTGTACTGTGTATGGTGTGTAGTGTGTGTAGAGTGTAGTGTGTGTAGTGTGTGTAGAGTGTGTAGTGTGTATGGTGTGTATAGAGTGTGTAGTGTGTATGGTGTGTGTAGAGTGTGTAGTGTGTATGGTGTGTATAGAGTGTGTAGTGTGTATGGTGTGTGTAGAGTGTGTAGTGTGTATGGTGTGTAGTGTGTGTAGTGTGTATCTTTGTGTCTAGTGTGTAGTACCTTGCAGCCCGTGGCAGGGTCGTGACCCCAGTAACCTGTCTCACACCTGTCGCAGGTGTCTCCCTCTGTGTGGGTGGGGCAGATGCACTCGCCGCTCACAGGGTCACAGTTCCCTCCGGTGTGATCACAGGTGCATGCTGGGAGGAGAACAGATCGTAGCCAATCAGAGTTGAAAGAGTCGACCAATCAGGGGCCAGATCAATACGTTACCTCGGTTTAACTACCTGTGCAGCCGATGGCGTGGAAACCATAGTAACCACGGCTACAGCGGTCACACTTATCACCAGCCACGCCCTCCACACACTGGCACCGCCCCTCGTCATCACATGACTGAGAGAGGGCTACTGATTGGCTGCAGCCACACGGCCGACAGCCCTGCCCACTCTGCAGCTCGAAGAACCCAGACTGAAGAAAGGTACAAAAAATATTACTTAAATAGATGATGAATGATTTAAAAACATAAAAACAACACTGAATTCATTTAAAATTATTATAATAAATTAAAATAACATTAAAATTAATTTTAAATTATTTGAAATACTTAAATTAAACATGCTGTTTTAAATCAATCTGAAGAAATCTGCAGTACTGTTTTTAGATTTTAAGTGAATTTAAGTGAAAACACAACGATCACCGTCTGAAGTCACATCAGACCTACGTGGCATTACAGTACTTTGTGTAATAATTAATTATTTAAATCAGGCGACGAAACATTCACTGTTTAATGTGCGACTCACCTGGCAGCGGTCACAGGTGCGTCCCGTCACGTTCTCTCTGCATGAACACTGACCTGCTGTGACATCACACACACTGGAGAGGGCGCCGCTCGCATCACAGCCACATTCTGAGAGAGAAAGGGGGGAACTTAGACCACGCCCACCTAGGTAAACCCCGCCCCCACAGACTGAGGCTGTCTGTTCACACACATTAAACAACTACAGCTCCCACAAGCCTTTGCTTCTGTTTTAAAGATGTCTGTGCTGAATGAACAGTGCAGGATGGTGGACTACAATCTGTCCTGAACATGGTCTGACGGTGCAGGATGGTGGACTACAGTCTGCACTGAACGGGGTCTGACGGTGCAGGATGGTGGACTACAATCTGTCCTGAACATGGTCTGACGGTGCAGGATGGTGGACTACAGTCTGCACTGAACGGGGTCTGACAGCGCAGGATGGTGGACTATAGGTCTGACGGTGCAGGATGGTGGACTACAATCTGTCCTGAGCATGGTCTGACGGTGCAGGATGGTGGACTACAGTCTGCACTGAACGGGGTCTGACAGTGCAGGATGGTGGATTACAATCTGTCCTGAACATGGTCTGATGGTGCAGGATGGTGGACTACAGTCTGCACTGAACGGGGTCTGACAGCGCAGGATGGTGGACTATAGGTCTGACGGTGCAGGATGGTGGACTACAATCTGTCCTGAACATGGTCTGACGGTGCAGGATGGTGGACTACAGTCTGCACTGAACGGGGTCTGACAGCGCAGGATGGTGGACTATAGGTCTGACGGTGCAGGATGGTGGACTACAATCTGTCCTGAACATGATCTGACGGTGCAGGATGGTGGACTACAGTCTGCACTGAACGGGGTCTGACAGCGCAGGATGGTGGACTATAGGTCTGACGGTGCAGGATGGTGGACTACAATCTGTCCTGAACATGGTCTGACAGTGCAGGATGGTGGACTACAATCTGTCCTGAGCATGGTCTGACGGTGCAGGATGGTGGACTACAGTCTGCACTGAACGGGGTCTGACAGCGCAGGATGGTGGATTACAATCTGTCCTGAACATGGTCTGATGGTGCAGGATGGTGGACTACAGTCTGCACTGAACGGGGTCTGACAGCGCAGGATGGTGGACTATAGGTCTGACGGTGCAGGATGGTGGACTACAATCTGTCCTGAACATGGTCTGACGGTGCAGGATGGTGGACTACAGTCTGCACTGAACGGGGTCTGACAGCGCAGGATGGTGGACTATAGGTCTGACGGTGCAGGATGGTGGACTACAATCTGCACTGAACGGGGTCTGACGGTGCAGGATGGTGGACTATAGGTCTGACGGTGCAGGATGGTGGACTACAATCTGTCCTGAACATGGTCTGATGGTGCAGGATGGTGGATTACAATCTGTCCTGAACATGGTCTGACGGTGCAGGATGGTGGACTATAGGTCTGACGGTGCAGGATGGTGGATTACAATCTGTCCTGAACATGGTCTGACGGTGCAGGATGGTGGACTACAGTCTGCACTGAACGGGGTCTGACAGTGCAGGATGGTGGACTATAGGTCTGATGGTGCAGGATGGTGGATTACAATCTGTCCTGAACATGGTCTGACGGTGCAGGATGGTGGACTACAGTCTGCACTGAACGGGGTCTGACAGCGCAGGATGGTGGACTATAGGTCTGACGGTGCAGGATGGTGGACTACAATCTGTCCTGAACATGGTCTGACGGTGCAGGATGGTGGACTACAGTCTGCACTGAACGGGGTCTGACAGCGCAGGATGGTGGACTATAGGTCTGACGGTGCAGAATGGTGGACTACAATCTGTCCTGAACATGGTCTGACGGTGCAGGATGGTGGACTACAGTCTGCACTGAACGGGGTCTGACAGCGCAGGATGGTGGACTACAATCTGTCCTGAACATGGTCTGACGGTGCAGGATGGTGGACTACAATCTGTCCTGAACATGGTCTGACGGTGCAGGATGGTGGACTATAGGTCTGACGGTGCAGGATGGTGGATTACAATCTGTCCTGAACATGGTCTGACGGTGCAGGATGGTGGACTACAGTCTGCACTGAACGGGGTCTGACAGCGCAGGATGGTGGACTATAGGTCTGACGGTGCAGGATGGTGGACTACAATCTGTCCTGAACATGGTCTGACGGTGCAGGATGGTGGACTACAGTCTGCACTGAACGGGGTCTGACAGCGCAGGATGGTGGACTATAGGTCTGACGGTGCAGGATGGTGGATTACAATCTGTCCTGAACATGGTCTGATGGTGCAGGATGGTGGACTACAGTCTGCACTGAACGGGGTCTGACAGCGCAGGATGATGGACTATAGGTCTGACGGTGCAGAATGGTGGACTACAATCTGTCCTGAACATGGTCTGATGGTGCAGGATGGTGGACTACAGTCTGCACTGAACGGGGTCTGACAGCGCAGGATGGTGGACTACAATCTGTCCTGAACATGGTCTGATGGTGCAGGATGGTGGATTACAATCTGTCCTGAACATGGTCTGACGGTGCAGGATGGTGGACTATAGGTCTGACGGTGCAGGATGGTGGATTACAATCTGTCCTGAACATGGTCTGACGGTGCAGGATGGTGGACTACAGTCTGCACTGAACGGGGTCTGACAGTGCAGGATGGTGGACTATAGGTCTGACGGTGCAGGATGGTGGATTACAATCTGTCCTGAACATGGTCTGACGGTGCAGGATGGTGGACTACAGTCTGCACTGAACGGGTCTGACAGCGCAGGATGGTGGACTATAGGTCTGACGGTGCAGGATGGTGGACTACAATCTGTCCTGAACATGGTCTGACGGTGCAGGATGGTGGACTACAGTCTGCACTGAACGGGGTCTGACAGCGCAGGATGGTGGACTATAGGTCTGACGGTGCAGGATGGTGGACTACAATCTGTCCTGAACATGGTCTGACGGTGCAGGATGGTGGACTACAGTCTGCACTGAACGGGGTCTGACAGCGCAGGATGGTGGACTACAATCTGTCCTGAACATGGTCTGACGGTGCAGGATGGTGGACTACAGTCTGCACTGAACGGCGGGCCTGACAGCGCAGGATGGTGGACTATAGGTCTGACGGTGCAGGATGGTGGACTACAATCTGTCCTGAACATGGTCTGATGGTGCAGGATGGTGGACTACAGTCTGCACTGAACGGGGTCTGACAGCGCAGGATGATGGACTATAGGTCTGACGGTGCAGAATGGTGGACTACAATCTGTCCTGAACATGGTCTGACGGTGCAGGATGGTGGACTACAGTCTGCACTGAACGGGGTCTGACAGCGCAGGATGGTGGACTACAATCTGTCCTGAACATGGTCTGACGGTGCAGGATGGTGGACTACAGTCTGCACTGAACGGGGTCTGACAGCGCAGGATGGTGGACTACAATCTGTCCTGAACATGGTCTGACGGTGCAGGATGGTGGACTACAATCTGTCCTGAACATGGTCTGACGGTGCAGGATGGTGGACTACAGTCTGCACTGAACGGGGTCTGACAGCGCAGGATGGTGGACTATAGGTCTGACGGTGCAGGATGGTGGATTACAATCTGTCCTGAACATGGTCTGATGGTGCAGGATGGTGGACTACAGTCTGCACTGAACGGGGTCTGACAGCGCAGGATGATGGACTATAGGTCTGACGGTGCAGGATGGTGGATTACAATCTGTCCTGAACATGGTCTGATGGTGCAGGATGGTGGACTACAGTCTGCACTGAACGGGGTCTGACAGCGCAGGATGATGGACTATAGGTCTGACGGTGCAGGATGGTGGACTACAGTCTGCACTGAACGGGGTCTGACGGTGCAGGATGGTGGACTACAATCTGTCCTGAACATGGTCTGACGGTGCAGGATGGTGGACTACAGTCTGCGCTGAACGGGGTCTGACAGCGCAGGATGGTGGACTATAGGTCTGATGGTGCAGGATGGTGGACTACAATCTGTCCGGAACATGGTCTGACGGTGCAGGATGGTGGACTATAGGTCTGACGGTGCAGGATGGTGGACTACAATCTGTCCTGAACATGGTCTGATGGTGCAGGATGGTGGACTACAGTCTGCACTGAACGGGGTCTGACGGTGCAGGATGGTGGACTACAATCTGTCCTGAACATGGTCTGACGGTGCAGGATGGTGGACTACAGTCTGCACTGAACGGGGTCTGACAGCGCAGGATGGTGGACTATAGGTCTGACGGTGCAGGATGGTGGACTACAATCTGTCCTGAACATGGTCTGACGGTGCAGGATGGTGGACTATAGGTCTGAACTCAACACAGAGAATTTAAGGGTTCAACATCAGACTGCAGTTTGGTGATGTCACCACAAAGTGGCAGCACACACACACACACACACACACACACACACACACACTTCCATCACTTTCAGGAACATTTACTAACATTCACTCCCTGGAAACTGAACCTAACCGCTACCTGCCTAAACTTGTCCCAGAAACTGACCTGGACCCGAGTCTCCACCTAAAAGTCTAAGGATTTACATTATTATTAACTCTCCTTTCGTTCCTGAAATGAAGACGGGTCCCCCCAGTGTGACTGTGTATGTCCCCACTACATCACACATCACATCACACAGCGTCATGTGAAAGGGAACAAAGAGGTCAGAGGTTGGGTCTAATCTGGATTTGAAAAGATCAACATTCCAACAAGTGTGTCTGTGTGTCAGAGTGCGTGTGAAGTGTGTGAGTCAGCAGACTCGTTTCCAGATAAATTCCTGAACAAAGTGAACCTTCTGGGTCCTGAATATTTGCAGGAACTTCCTGACTGTGACAGATTCGATGACAGAACCAGGACCAGGAGGGGCCGTGTGTCTCACCCCGACAGTCCTTGGCATGCACGGCGTCTCCATAATAACCAGGCTGACAGACTTCGCAGTGTCTCCCGGCAGTGTTCCTGAGGCAGCGCAGACACTCCCCGGTGGCGGTGTGACAGTGCCCCGCCTCGCTGACGTTCACGTTGCCGTTACACTCGCAGCGGACACAGGCCCCGCCCACTACCTGTGGGTTACCATAGAAACCGCTGGCACACCTGGAGACAGAGACAGACACGGGTCACAGCGGGCTCGCCACTTCTGATTGGTGGATCAGCCTGTCAATCATCCTCACAGCTGTCTCACCTCTCGCAGTTGGTTCCTGTGTACCCGTCCTGACACTGGTCACATGACACCTGGCCAGGTGCCTCCAGCACACAGGTGGGACTGAAACTGTAACAGGAATATAAACTATTATTCATACTCCCACGCTGTCAACGCTTCTTTCTACCCATAAAGTTTTTGAATCAGATGAGACGAACCTGTTGGACGGCTCCGTCAGAGGACACGGACACAACCGGCAGTCGTCTGCTGTACCTTCCGTGGGGTCGCCATAAAAACCGGGAAGACACCGGTCACAGTGGGGACCAGTGGCATTATGGGTACAACCCTGAGACACAGAGACAGTTAGCACGCTAACAGGCTGCATCCAAACATTAACGCCGTGATAACTGATCTTCGTACAAACACTTGTTAGTGTGTTGTTTCATTCAAACTCACCAAACAAACACCGTTGATGTCGCACTCGGTGGCGTGGTCGTTACACTCACACTGCATACAGTTCCCTCCAAACAAAACTCCTCCCACCCTGTAGAAACCTGGGACACACGCCTGATATACACAAAAGACACTGATAAGTCACATGACACAGGTCCAGGGTTCGAGTTACGTGGGAGCCAGTGGGAGCTCAGCTCCCATAAGGAGGGTCTGAGCTCGCAGTAAAATCCTGCACCTGTGGGGGTCTCTAATTCATTTATCAACAACCATTATTTTGAATCACAAATAATGTATTTTTCATTGTAATTAGTACTATTATTTACATTAAACAAGATAAACAGAATTAAATGAACACACTTTCCTAATGAACTACGCTGCGCATCGCATGACTGAAAGGATGGCTGCAATTCTCCACCATCAGCGTGCGCACAGTTTTGACCGAACAGGTTGAGACTGCGAAAATGAACCCAGTTGTATTGTAGCCTACTGTATTACTCTGTATTGACTGCAGCTTATTTGTTTAGTATTATTGGCTTACATATGATAATATGCTTGCGCAAAATAATTAAATATTATAATTATAATATCACCATAAAGGGCAGAATTGCGGTCTCTCCTTGAGCAATAGTGTTTGATGGCATTTTTCAGGCGAAACTTAACGGATTGCCTGGTGTGAGTAGGCCTACACTCTGTTGCAATATCACAGACATCTGGGACAAGTAGTGGACTGCTGTGTGTGTGAGAGAGGGAAATGTTGAATCACGTAAGCAATGATCTCTCCCCACCCCGCCGGTAAAGTCAGGTCGTATATTAGAGACCCCTCACGAAGCTCAGATTACAACTTGAACCCTGCACAGGTCCATGTTATTCTCAGAATATTAGTACACACAGTACTAATAACAGTACTAATAACAGTACTAACAGAACTAACAGAACTAATAACAGTAATAACAGAACTAACAGTACTAACAGAACTAATAATAGTACTAACAGAACTAATAACAGAACTAACAGAACTAATAACAGTACAAACAGAACTAATAACAGAACTAACAGAACTAACAGTACTAACAGAACTAATAATAGTACTAACAGAACTAATAACAGAACTAACAGAACTAATAACAGTACAAACAGAACTAATAACAGAACTAACAGAACTAACAGTACTAACAGAACTAATAATAGTACTAACAGAACTAATAACAGTACAAACAGAACTAATAACAGAACTAACAGAACTAACAGTACTAACAGAACTAACAGAACTAATAATAGTACTAACAGAACTAATAACAGTACTAATAATAGTACTAACAGAACTAATAACAGAACTAACAGAACTAATAACAGAACTAACAGAACTAACAGTACTAACAGAACTAACAGAACTAATAACAGTACTAATAATAGTACTAACAGAACTAATAACAGAACTAACAGAACTAATAACAGTACTAATAATAGTACTAACAGAACTAATAACAGAACTAACAGAACTAATAACAGTACTAATAATAGTACTAACAGAACTAACAGAACTAACAGAACTAATAACAGTACTAATAATAGTACTAACAGAACTAATAACAGAACTAACAGAACTAATAACAGTACTAATAATAGTACTAACAGAACTAATAACAGAACTAACAGAACTAATAACAGAACTAACAGAACTAATAATAGTACTAATAATAGTACTAACAGAACTAATAACAGTACTAATAATAGTACTAACAGAACTAATAACAGAACTAACAGAACTAATAACAGAACTAACAGAACTAATAACAGAACTAACAGAACTAATAACAGTACTAATAATAGTACTAACAGAACTAATAACAGAACTAACAGAACTAATAACAGTACTAATAATAGTACTAACAGAACTAATAACAGTACTAATAATAGTACTAACAGAACTAATAACAGAACTAACAGAACTAATAACAGTACTAATAATAGTACTAACAGAACTAATAACAGAACTAACAGAACTAATAACAGAACTAACAGAACTAATAATAGTACTAATAATAGTACTAACAGAACTAATAACAGTACTAATAATAGTACTAACAGAACTAATAACAGAACTAACAGAACTAATAACAGAACTAACAGAACTAATAACAGTACTAATAATAGTACTAACAGAACTAATAACAGAACTAACAGAACTAATAACAGTACTAATAATAGTACTAACAGAACTAATAACAGAACTAACAGAACTAATAACAGTACTAATAATAGTACTAACAGAACTAATAACAGAACTAACAGAACTAATAACAGAACTAACAGAACTAATAACAGAACTAACAGAACTAATAACAGAACTAACAGAACTAATAACAGTACTAACAGTGCTGATATTGATTTGATAAAGTTAAGTGAACTGCTGACCTCACAGGAAGTACCGCTGTAACCCCACGGACATTCACAAGTCTCTACGGCAACGGCCTGAACGCCAGAATCTGAGCCAGAGTCAGCAAAGTCCAGAGACACCGAGCTGAGACTGAAAGACATCATCATCATCATCATCATCATCATCATCATCAACACGGGAGGATAAAGAGGCTGTGACAGCGGGAAACAGACTGGGAGTCGTCACAAATTCAAGTGTAGAAGTGTTGTTTACATAGTGCAACATATTTAAATAAAACTCTGTCAGCAGCATCGTGTTTCTGATTTGCCTGACTGATAAGAGCCAATCAGGAAGCCAAACGTGAGCGTCTGCGTCATTGTTTCCACCTGTCAGCACTAACACGCTGCCCCGGAGTTTAAAACCAGAACGGGTTCAGCAGCGTTTTCACACTTTAACGCTTCAGTCTGGACGGGAGGAGGAACCATAGCAGAAGGTCTGAGTTTTAAAACGAAGTCGTAGGAGTGTGGATGGAGCCTGAGATCTTCACTCTGTCTCTAAGGCCAAGCCCAGACACCCTGCAGAGGAATCCACCAGAGACCAGGATCCACAGCAGAGGACCGGAACAAAGATCCACTGATGAATCCAGAGCGTCACCTTCAGGATCAGCTCCCAATGAACCACCACAGTCTTATTCAGCATACGTGAACTCCGTCACTCCAACCTGAAGGAAACAAGTCGCTGTTTTACAGCAGAGTACCGTGACCTCAGACTTGGAGGTCCTGGACTCTCATACAGCTGTAAATGTGCCTCTGGTTGTACAAGGACTGAATGACCTGTTGTGATGGCCACGTACCCCCACAGTACTCCCCATGAGACACCTGGTGGACATAAGGCTTGTTCTGGTTTAAACAGGGAGGCTGAGCGGTGTCATACGCTGATTCATGTAGCTCTGGTCCCTGTTTTAAAAAATGTGAACCACCACCCTGGTCTTCCAGTCCACAGGTACTGTCCCCAGCCTGCACAAGACAATGAAGAGGCATCAATCAAGACAACCCAACAACGTCCAGAGCTTTCAGCATCTCACAGTGAATCTCATCCACACCTGGTACTGCTGCAAATTTAGTACGCCAGTGACCTCAATGAACAAGCCTTCCAGCTGTGCCTCCTCTGTGGAGGCCGTGCTGGTTCAGGCCTTTCCCTGTTGAGCCCCATTCCTCTGGAAAACCCTTCCTGCTGATAGACTGACCCTGCTGAGGCCTTTAGGTCCCAGCTGGAAATCCATCGTTTGGCTCTAACTTTCAGTCAGTACCCTTCCTTCCAAACTTCAGACCTCGTAAGTAGAACCAGCCAAAGGCTCAGTCTCAGCAGGTAAGGACTGGTCGGGGTTCACCAAATTTGTGCCAAAATTCATGAGACACACCAGACTGCAGAGACTTTAGGTCTTTCAAACAGTACATAATATTGTGAAAAGATTCAGACATCTCAGAGTGTAAAGGGCGAGGTCAGAAACCACTGCTGAATGTGTGTGACCTTTGAGCCCTCAGAAACCGTCATGCTGCAGTGACAAACATAGCTCGGGTGGACTTCGGGTGGACGGAAAACAGTCACTTAAATTGAACCCGGGTCTCTCACACCAGAGCCATGTGTCTTATCCACTGCTCCATCAACTGTATGCCCAAGGTCCACTCAGAAGGACCCAAAGACGGTAGAACCGTGTGCTGTGGTCAGATGAGTTTCACATTTAAGACATGGAGTTCTCCGTGCCAAAGACTATCCACAATGTCATCATGGTGCGAAGCTAGGACCTGTGATGGTCTGGGGGGGGGGGCACCAGTGTCCACGGCAGGGCGAGCTGCATGTGAAGTACCACTGACCCAGAGGAAGGTTTGGGGTTTTAGAGAATGTGTCGACATCAAGGCGGCGTCTATTCCAGGGACATCCGTGTTTATTTCAGCAGGGCAATGCCAGGTCTCATTCTGCAGGGCTACAGGAGCATGTCTTTGTAGACACAGAGTGCGGACCCTGCTGCCGGTCCAGCACTCAGCACAGATCTGTCTCCTGTTGAGTATGTGCATCATGAAGAGGAGGATCAGACAGCAGTGACCGCAGACTGTTCAGCAGCTTACGTTCTGTATCAAGCAAGAATGGACAAAATGTCAAACTGCAAAACTGGCACAATAATATCTTCCCAAACGATTAGAAAGTGTTATTAAAGTGCAGGACAAGCTCTCCTAGCTGAACGTGCCTGACTCCACCTGCAGGTGGATCGCTGACTTCCTGACGGACAGGAAGCAGCACGTGAAGCTGGGAAAACATGTCTCTGACTCCAGGACCATCAGCAACGGTTCCCCTCAAGGCTGTGTTCTTTCCCCCCTTCTCTTCTCCCTGTACACCAACAGCTGCACCTCCAGTCACCAGTCCGTCAAGCTCCTGAAGTTTGCGGATGAAACCACCCTAATTGGGCTCATCTCAGGTGGGGATTAGTCCGCCTACAGGTGGGAGATCGACCATCTGGTGACCTGGTGCAGCCAGAACAGTCTGGAGCTTAACAGTGGAGATGGTCGTGGACTTCAGAAAGAGCCCAGCCCCACCCTCCCCCATGATCCTGTGCGACTCCCCTGTTGCCACTGTGGACTCCTTCCGCTTCCTGGGCACCATCATCTCCCAGGACCTCAAGTGGGAGCTGAACATCACCTCCCTCACCAAGAAGACCCAGCAGAGGATGTACTTCCTGCGGCAGCTGAAGAAGTTCAGCCTGCCAAAGACAAAGATGGTGCACTTCTCCACCACCATCATTGAGTCCATCCTCACCTCCTCCATCACCATCTGGTACGCTGCTGCCACTGCCAGGGACAAGGGCAGGCTGCAGCGCATCGTTCGCTCTGCAGAGAAGGTGATTGGCTGCAATCTTCCTTCTCTTCTGGACCTGTACGCCTCCAGGACTCTGAGGCGAGCAGGAAAGATTGTAGCTGACCCCTCCCACCCAGGACACAAACTGTTTCAGACTCTCCCCTCTGGCAGGAGGCTGCGGTCCATCAGGACCAAAACCTCTCACCACAAAAACAGCTTCTTCCCGTCTGCAGCCTCATCAACAAGGCCCGTGCCCCCACTGAAACTCCCCCCTTGCAAATAATACAAATGTCTCTGCACATGTAAATATTATCATTTTATAAATATCTGCCACGTTGTTATTGTCCTCTATTCTTTTTATCATTTTTATAAAACATGCATCTGTTTATTCCATATTTATATATTTCTAAATGTATTCATATCAACTGTATGTTTGTCTGCGTGTAGCACCTCATCACCAAAACAAATTCCGCGTACGTGTAAAACGCTCCTGATTCTGAAAGGAACAAGCCCGGCATTAAATTCTTCTTCATTTACAGAACACATGCTGCTCAGAAAAACTACTGAAGAACCTTCTCTTTGTGCTTCTGTTTGGTTAAATAAAGGTTCATGTGAACGAACAAACCCCAGATCTTTGTTGTTCTTGCATCTATAAAATATATCTTTGTAATCAGATCAGTTTGTTCTCACCGTATGGGCCCGTCCACAGAGGCGTTCAGGTGAACTCTGACCCTCAGTGATGTCACGTCTGTGAGGACTGACAGCAGGTCGTCACGGGTAACCAGAACGCCCGTTTGAGCGTCCACGAATCGCTGCGGGGTCATCACCACGGCAACCAAGCGCTCGGCCAGCGGCGAGAGGAAGAGGAGAAGAGGAGGAGAGAGACGAAGGGCACGACCATTTCCCTTGGGAGAGAGAGAGAGACAAACAGGTCAGTCTGACTACTGTAAAAACTTCATTCACTAAACAGGTCAAGAGTTTTTACTCACCTTGATGATGATGTCAGAGTGGGCAGGGAGAGAACGGACTTCATTGTCCAATGGGACATCATAAACCACAGAGTAGGTCAGGACACCTCCATAGGATACCAGCTGGAGACAGTCAGACAGACAAAAAGACAGTTAGTCAGAGAAAGAGACGGACAGTCAGACAGAGAGACAGTCAGTAATGAACAAATGTGAAAATGGTAGCAGACCTTGTTGCCAAGGAAACTGTCTGGCGCCGCCCACAACAACAGGTGTTGGTGGACTGAAGACTGGTTGCCAGGGAGAGGGAGGTCATTGCCGTGGACCACAGGTGTAGTGTGGTGGGACTGAGAGGGGCGGAGCCAAGCGTCCGTATGAAGCACCTGAAGAAAATGATCATCAGAATTTACAGAACTATATAATAGTCTGATCTTACCGGAGTACAGGTGTGCGTACAGGTGTGCCTCTGTGTGTTACCTGAGCAGTGGACCAGGCGGAGTTCTCGCAAACGTCAGACACACCGAAGCAGAAACAGTCAGTGCAGCCGAGCGGATTACTCTCCTGCAGGTTGTAGAAACCCGGTTTACACAGATCACAGTGCGCTCCCATCACATTCACCTGAGGAGGAGAGGACACGTCAGAGGCCCGATGACAGGAGAGAGGCCCGACGTCAGGAGAGAGGCCCGACGTCAGGAGAGAGGCCCGACGTCAGGAGAGAGGCCCGACGTCAGGAGAGAGGCCCGACGACAGGAGAGAGGCCCGACGTCAGGAGAGAGGCCCGACGTCAGGAGAGAGGCCAGACGGCAGGAGAGAGGTCAGACGTCAGGAGAGAGGCCAGACGGCAGGAGAGAGGTCAGACGGCAGGAGAGAGGCCGACGTCAGGAGAGAGGCCAGACGACAGGAGAGAGGCCCGACGTCAGGAGAGAGGCCAGACGGCAGGAGAGAGGCCCCGACGACAGGAGAGAGGCCCGACGTCAGGAGAGAGGCCAGACGGCAGGAGAGAGGTCAGACGTCAGGAGAGAGGCCAGACGACAGGAGAGAGGTCAGACGTCAGGAGAGAGGCCGACGTCAGGAGAGAGGCCAGACGACAGGAAAGAGGTCAGACGTCAGGAGAGAGGCCGACGTCAGGAGAGAGGCCCGACGACAGGAGAGAGGCCCGACGACAGGAGAGAGGTCAGACGTCAGGAGAGAGGCCGACGTCAGGAGAGAGGCCAGACGACAGGAGAGAGGCCCGACGACAGGAGAGAGGCCCGACGTCAGGAGAGAGGTCAGACGGCAGGAGAGAGGCCAGACGTCAGGAGAGAGGCCAGACGTCAGGAGAGAGGCCCGACGACAGGAGAGAGGTCAGACGTCAGGAGAGAGGCCCGACGACAGGAGAGAGGCCAGACGACAGGAGAGAGGTCAGACGTCAGGAGAGAGGCCAGATGACAGGAGAGAGGTCAGACGTCAGGAGAGAGGCCCGACGACAGGAGAGAGGCCCGACGTCAGGAGAGAGGTCAGACGGCAGGAGAGGGGTCAGACGTCAGGAGAGAGGCCCGAGACAGGAGAGAGGTCAGACGGCAGGAGAGAGGCCCGACGACAGGAGAGAGGCCCGACGTCAGGAGAGAGGTCAGACGTCAGGAGAGAGGCCGACGTCAGGAGAGAGGCCCGACGTCAGGAGAGAGGCCCGACGACAGGAGAGAGGCCCGACGTCAGGAGAGAGGCCCGACGTCAGGAGAGAGGTCAGACGGCAGGAGAGGGGTCAGACGGCAGGAGAGAGGCCCGACGTCAGGAGAGAGGCCCGACGACAGGAGAGAGGCCCGACGTCAGGAGAGAGGTCAGATGTCAGGAGAGAGGCCCGACGACAGGAGAGAAGCCCGACGGCAAGAGAGAGGCCCGACGGCAAGAGAGAGGTCAGACGGCAGGAGAGAGGTCAGACGGCAGGAGAGAGGCCCGACGACAGGAGAGAGGTCAGACGGCAGGAGAGGGGTCAGACGTCAGGAGAGAGGCTCGACGACAGGAGAGAGGTCAGATGGCAGGAGAGGGGTCAGACGTCAGGAGAGGGGTCAGACGACAGGAGAGAGGTCAGACGTCAGGAGAGAGGCCAGACGACAGGAGAGAGGCCAGACGACAGGAGAGAGGCCCGACGTCAGGAGAGAGGTCAGACGTCAGGAGAGAGGCCAGACGGCAGGAGAGAGGCCCCGACGACAGGAGAGAGGCCCGACGTCAGGAGAGAGGCCAGACGGCAGGAGAGAGGTCAGACGTCAGGAGAGAGGCCAGACGACAGGAGAGAGGTCAGACGTCAGGAGAGAGGCCGACGTCAGGAGAGAGGCCAGACGACAGGAGAGAGGTCAGACGTCAGGAGAGAGGCCGACGTCAGGAGAGAGGCCCGACGACAGGAGAGAGGCCTGACGACAGGAGAGAGGTCAGACGTCAGGAGAGAGGCCGACGTCAGGAGAGAGGCCAGACGACAGGAGAGAGGCCCGACGACAGGAGAGAGGCCCGACGTCAGGAGAGAGGTCAGACGGCAGGAGAGAGGCCCGACGACAGGAGAGAGGTCAGACGTCAGGAGAGAGGCCCGACGACAGGAGAGAGGCCAGACGACAGGAGAGAGGTCAGACGTCAGGAGAGAGGCCAGATGACAGGAGAGAGGTCAGACGTCAGGAGAGAGGCCCGACGACAGGAGAGAGGCCCGACGTCAGGAGAGAGGTCAGACGGCAGGAGAGAGGCCCGACGACAGGAGAGAGGTCAGACGTCAGGAGAGAGGCCCGACGACAGGAGAGAGGCCCGACGTCAGGAGAGAGGTCAGACGTCAGGAGAGAGGCCGACGTCAGGAGAGAGGCCCGACGTCAGGAGAGAGGCCCGACGACAGGAGAGAGGCCCGACGTCAGGAGAGAGGCCCGACGTCAGGAGAGAGGTCAGACGGCAGGAGAGGGGTCAGACGGCAGGAGAGAGGCCCGACGTCAGGAGAGAGGCCCGACGGCAGGAGAGAGGCCCGACGTCAGGAGAGAGGTCAGACGTCAGGAGAGAGGCCCGACGACAGGAGAGAAGCCCGACGGCAAGAGAGAGGCCCGACGGCAAGAGAGAGGTCAGACGGCAGGAGAGAGGTCAGACGGCAGGAGAGAGGCCCGACGACAGGAGAGAGGCCCGACGTCAGGAGAGAGGTCAGACGGCAGGAGAGAGGCCCGACGACAGGAGAGAGGTCAGACGTCAGGAGAGAGGCCCGACGACAGGAGAGAGGCCAGACGACAGGAGAGAGGTCAGACGTCAGGAGAGAGGCCAGATGACAGGAGAGAGGTCAGACGTCAGGAGAGAGGCCCGACGACAGGAGAGAGGCCCGACGTCAGGAGAGAGGTCAGACGGCAGGAGAGGGGTCAGACGTCAGGAGAGAGGCCCGAGACAGGAGAGAGGTCAGACGTCAGGAGAGAGGCCCGACGACAGGAGAGAGGCCCGACGTCAGGAGAGAGGTCAGACGTCAGGAGAGAGGCCGACGTCAGGAGAGAGGCCCGACGTCAGGAGAGAGGCCCGACGACAGGAGAGAGGCCCGACGTCAGGAGAGAGGCCCGACGTCAGGAGAGAGGTCAGACGGCAGGAGAGGGGTCAGACGGCAGGAGAGAGGCCCGACGTCAGGAGAGAGGCCCGACGACAGGAGAGAGGCCCGACGTCAGGAGAGAGGTCAGACGTCAGGAGAGAGGCCCGACGACAGGAGAGAAGCCCGACGGCAAGAGAGAGGCCCGACGGCAAGAGAGAGGTCAGACGGCAGGAGAGAGGTCAGACGGCAGGAGAGAGGCCCGACGACAGGAGAGAGGTCAGACGGCAGGAGAGGGGTCAGACGTCAGGAGAGAGGCTCGACGACAGGAGAGAGGCCCGACGTCAGGAGAGAGGTCAGACGTCAGGAGAGAGGCCGACGTCAGGAGAGAGGCCCGACGTCAGGAGAGAGGCCCGACGACAGGAGAGAGGCCCGACGTCAGGAGAGAGGTCAGACGGCAGGAGAGGGGTCAGACGGCAGGAGAGGGGTCAGACGTCAGGAGAGAGGCTCGACGACAGGAGAGAGGCCTGACGGCAGGAGAGAGGCTCGACGACAGGAGAGAGGCCCGACGGCAGGAGAGAGGCTCGACGACAGGAGAGAGGCCCGATGACAGGAGAGAGGTCAGACGTCAGGAGAGAGGCCGACGTCAGGAGAGAGGCCCGACGTCAGGAGAGAGGCCCGATGACAGGAGAGAGGTCAGACGTCAGGAGAGAGGCCGACGTCAGGAGAGAGGCCCGACGTCAGGAGAGAGGCCCGACGTCAGGAGAGAGGCCCGACGACAGGAGAGAGGCCCGACGTCAGGAGAGAGGTCAGACGGCAGGAGAGGGGTCAGACGTCAGGAGAGAGGTCAGACGGCAGGAGAGGGGTCAGACGTCAGGAGAGAGGCCAGACGACAGGAGAGAGGCCCGACGACAGGAGAGAGGCCAGATGACAGGAGAGAGGTCAGACGTCAGGAGAGAGGCCCGACGTCAGGAGAGAGGCCAGACGTCAGGAGAGAGGCCCGATGACAGGAGAGAGGTCAGACGGCAGGAGAGAGGTCAGACGGCAGGAGAGAGGCCCGACGGCAAGAGAGAGGTCAGACGTCAGGAGAGAGGTCAGACGGCAGGAGAGAGGCCCGACGTCAGGAGAAATTTCAGACGACAGGAGAGAGGCCCGACGGCAAGAGAGAGGTCAGACGTCAGGAGAGAGGTCAGACGGCAGGAGAGAGGCCCGACGTCAGGAGAGAGGCTTTTTATCAAATGACTTTCTTTTCAGAACCACACAGAGCACCGAGCCCGCTCAGGTGAGCCTGCTCAGGTGAGCCCAGTAAGTGTGATGTCACCGCGCTTACCTTGCAGGTGCAGGGGCTGCAGGGGTCTGTGTTGGTGCTGCCGGGCAGGTGACACTCACATCGAGCACACAGAGGAAAGTCTCGGTATCCAAATGCACAGCGATCACAGTGCCGACCCGTGAAGCCCTCCTTACACACACACTGACCTGCAGACACACCTGCACACACACACATTCACCTGTAATGCTGCTGTGCTGCATGCAACAACAGCTGGATTGGAGTTGGTGCTGTAATGGCGACAGGTGGAGAGTGTGTGGTCGTGGGTTTGTTGGTATTTAAGTGTGTTCCTGACTGTCTTACTGAGTGACATCATATCTATTTTAAAGAGGTGGTATTCTGCTATTTGGCTTTTTCCCTCTCCTTTATTGAGTTATTTACCTTTTTTGTAGCAGGTTTGCAAAGTGAAAAAGTCCAAAGGGAGTTCCCATCTCCCACAGAAAACTCTGCTCTGAACTGAAAACAGCTTGTTTGTAGTCCAGCCGCTTCCCTTTCATCCCCCTGACATCACAGGGATGAAAGCTAAACGCGCCTCACATAACGCTCGCCGAGCGGCGACTCCGACACGCCCTCAGAAACAGCGAGCTGCAGCACACAGCTCTCCTCTCCCTTCCAAACACTAGCTACCCTCCAGGCAGTCAGTGGACATAAAGTTGTTCCTGTGATGTAGAGACAGAGCTCAGTTAAAACTTTATGGATACAGATTAATAACTCACCGCTCGGAAACTCTCGCTCCAGTCCATGTTGCCGAGCCGGTCGGCAACACGTACAGCTGAACCCGAGCTGTTTACCGGCTTCTCGCTGACCCGCTAGTAGTCCTTAACTAGGAACTGAGCATGTGCAACTCCCAACAAAGATCATTTAGAGACAAGATGTATCACTCCATAGCTAACACGAAGCCTTCAACACAGGCTGAAAAGAGGAGCTGCAGCAATGTGCAGTATGACAAAAATATAACCATGGAAACCTGTTCTGGTACAACCTCTAAATAAGATGAGGAACCTGAACATGAGCAGAATACCACCTCTTTAAACACAATCTTAATGTGAACTACCTGTTCATCATGTACATTACTTATTTACTTACCACTGTAGATTGCTGATATGTGACGTGTGGTTAATTGTGCTGCGTTTCTGACGCTACACACACTGATGGTCTGCACAAATTAACTTACAGATAAATAAAGTTATTTGAATTGAATTTAAACTGAACATGAATGATGATGATGAAGATGAAGTTACCTGGCTGTGTGTCGTCTCTGCTGCAGACTGCAGAATCTGATCCTCTCAGGTCACAGTTACACTCCACACAGGGAGAGTCTGAGTATGGAGACACCTGCGCACACATACACACAGACACACACACAGACACAGGCACAGACACAGGCACAGCCACACACACACACACACACACACACACACACAGACAGAGACACACACACAGACACACACAGGCACAGCCACACACACAGGCACAGACACACACACACACACACACAGACAGAGACACACAGGCACAGACACAGACAGACACACACACAGAGACACACACAGGCACAGACACACACACAGGCACAGACACAGACAGACAGACACACACACAGACACAGACAGACACACACACAGGCACAGACAGAGACACACACACAGGCACAGACACAGACCGACACACACAGACACACACAGGCACAGACACAGACAGACACACACACAGACACAGACAGACACACACAGACACACACAGGCACAGACAGAGACACACACGCAGGCGCACACACACAGGCACAGACACACACAGACACACACAGGCACAGACAGAGACACACACGCACAGACACAGACAGACACACACACACAGACACACACAGGCACAGACAGAGACACACACGCAGGCACAGACACACACAGGACCAGCCACACACACAGGCACAGACACACACACACACACACACAGACAGAGACACACAGGCACAGACACAGACAGACACACACAGAGACACACACAGGCACAGACACAGACAGACACACACACACAGACACAGACAGACACACACACACAGACACACACAGGCACAGACAGAGACACACACACAGGCACCGACACAGACCGACACACACACAGACACACACAGGCACAGACACAGACAGACACACACACAGACACAGACAGACACACACAGACACACACAGGCACAGACAGAGACACACACGCAGGCGCACACACACAGGCACAGACAGAGACACACACGCACAGACACAGACAGACACACACACACAGACACACACAGGCACAGACAGAGACACACACGCAGGCACAGACACACACAGGCACAGACACAGACAGACACACACACAGACACAGACAGACACACACAGACACACACAGGCACAGACAGAGACACACATGCAGGCGCACACACACAGGCACAGACACACACAGACACACACAGGCACAGACAGGCACAGACACACACACACACACACACACACACACACACACACACACACACACACAGACACAGACAGAGACACAGGCACAGACACACACACGCACACAGACACACACACAGGCACAGACACACACAGGCAGACACACAGGCACAGACAAACACACACACACACAGACACACACACACACAGGCACAGACAGACACACACACACAGGCACACACACACACACAGGCACAGACACACACACAGGCAAGACACACACACACACACACAGGCACAGACAGTGTTTCAGGGTTCAGTGTCTGAATGACAACCTCTCTCATACAAACAGCAGAACTTTATTCTGTGACTGATCGTCCTTGTCGGGGCAACGGAGGTAGCGGTGATGACACAACATGAAGATGGCTAGCAGTGATTGTCACCATCTGAGTCTGTTTCATCTTTGTTTCTTTATTTTGTCTGTCTGCTTTGTGTTGTTAAGTTCTTGAAGGTTGTTCCGGGGGTTCAGTTTTCCTCTTGTGGTTAGTAGTCTGTAGTATTAGGTGCAGTATCTGTCAGTACCTCGGCAGGTCTGTAGTATTAGGTGCAGTATCTGTCAGTACCTCGGCAGGTCTGTAGTATTAGGTACAGTGTCTGTCAGTACCTCGGCAGGTCTGTAGTATTAGGTGCAGTGTCTGTCAGTACCTCGGCAGGTCTGTAGTATTAGGTGCAGTATCTGTCAGTACCTCAGCATGTCTGTAGTATTAGGTGCAGTATCTGTCAGTACCTCGGCAGGTCTGTAGTATTAGGTGCAGTGTCTGTCAGTACCTCAGCAGGTCTGTAGTATTAGGTGCAGTGTCTGTTAGTACCTCGGCAGGTCTGTAGTATTAGGTGCAGAATCTGTCAGTACCTCGGCAGGTCTGTAGTATTAGGTGCAGTATCTGTAAGTACCTCGGCAGGTCTGTAGTATTAGGTGCAGAGTCTGTAAGTACCTCGGCAGTTCTGTAGTATCCAGCAGCGCAGGTCTCACAGTTGATGCCGGCGGTGTTCTGCTGACAGTTGATACAGACTCCCCCTCCTTGACGAACGCCACGAGTGTTCAAACTCAAAGACAGATCGGAGACGGTCTGATTGTAGAAACAGTCCACTGCTTTGTTGTGGCAGTTACACTCTGAGAGACAGACAGGTGAGAGTCAGAGAGGTGGGAGTCAGACAGGTGAGAGAGAGACGGGTTAGAGACCGACAGGTGAGAATCAGAGAGGTGGGAGTCAGACGGGTGAGAGGCAGACAGGTGAGAGAGAGATGGGTTAGAGACAGACAGATGGGAGTCAGACAGGTGGGAGTCAGACAGGTGAGAGAGAGATGGGTTAGAGACAGACAGATGGGAGTCAGACAGGTGAGAGAGAGACGGGTTAGAGACAGACAGGTGGGAGTCAGACGCGTGGGAGACAGACAGGTGGGAGAGAGATGGGTTAGCGACAGACAGATGGAGGTCAGACAGGTGAGAGTCAGACAGGTGGGAGACAGGCAGGTGAGAGTCAGAGAGGTGGGAAAGAGACGGGTTAGAGTCAGAGAGGTGGGAAAGAGACGGGTTAGAGACAGACAGATGAAGGTCAGACAGGTGAGAGTCAGACAGGTGGGAGAGAGACGGGTTAGAGACAGAGAGGTGGGAGTCAGACAGGTGAGAGAGAGACGGGTTAGAGACAGACAGATATAGGTCAGAGAGGTGAGAGTCAGACAGGTGGGAGAGAGACAGGTTAGAGAGAGACAGGTGGGAGACAGACAGGTGGGAGTCAGACATGTGAGAGTCAGACGCGTGGGAGAGAGACAGGTTAGATACAGACAGATGGAGGTCAGACAGGTGAGAGTCAGACAGGTGGGAGAGAGACAGGTTAGAGACAGACAGATGGAGGTCAGACAGGTGAGAGTCAGACAGGTGTGAAAGAGACAGGTTAGAGACAGACAGATGGAGGTCAGACAGGTGAGAGTCAGACAGGTGGGAGAGAGACGGGTTAGAGACAGACAGATGGAGGTCAGACAGGTGGGAGAGAGACAGGTTAGAGACAGACAGATGGAGGTCAGACAGGTGAGAGTCAGACAGGTGTGAAAGAGACAGGTTAGAGACAGACAGATGGAGGTCAGACAGGTGAGAGTCAGACAGGTGTGAAAGAGACAGGTTAGAGACAGACAGATGGAGGTCAGACAGGTGAGAGTCAGACAGGTGTGAAAGAGACAGGTTAGAGACAGACAGATGGAGGTCAGACAGGTGAGAGTCAGACAGGTGTGAAAGAGACGGGTTAGAGACAGACAGATGGAGGTCAGACAGGTGAGAGTCAGACAGGTGGGAGAGAGACAGGTTAGAGACAGACAGATGGGAGTCAGACATGTGGGAGAGAGACGGGTTAGAGACAGACAGATGGAGGTCAGACAGGTGAGAGTCAGACAGGTGTGAAAGAGACAGGTTAGAGACAGACAGATGGAGGTCAGACAGGTGAGAGTCAGACAGGTGTGAAAGAGACAGGTTAGAGACAGACAGATGGAGGTCAGACAGGTGAGAGTCAGACAGATGGAGGTCAGACAGGTGAGAGTCAGACAGGTGGGAGAGAGACGGGTTAGAGACAGAGAGGTGGGGGTCAGACAGGTGAGAGTCAGACAGGTGAGAGAGAGACGGGTTAGAGACAGACAGGTGGGAGTCAGACAGGTGGGAGTCAGACGGGTGAGAGAGAGACAGGTTAGAGACAGACAGGTGGGAGGCAGGCAGGTGAGAGTCAGACAGGTGGGAGTCAGACGGGTGGGAGAGAGATGGGTGAGAGAGAGACAGACGTTATTTCTCACTTTCACAGGTGTTGCCCTCAGAGATGGTTCCTGGTTGCCATGGCTGCTGGTGGTAACCAGGGCAACACTCGTTACAGCTTTCTCCACAGGTGTTGTGTTCACACACACATTGCAGTTTCTGTTGACACATAGGTGAACAGGTGAACAGGTGAACAGGTGAACAGGTATACAGGTGAACAGTTGTACAGGTGTGTGACGTTACCTTGGTAACAGAATCCAGCGGGCAGCTCTGGGCGTGGCCGTAACAGATACACATCCCGCCAACAGAGATGTCTTTGATGGAGTAATAATACTGAGGACAGAATATTAATGAACTCTTTAATAAACATGTTGGTCATGTGACCACGCAGCTCGTCCACAACTCGAACATTAAAAACTGTCACTCTGGCCGTCTGTCTTACCCTCCGGGTGACGATGGGGTCGATGTCTCGAGGGTCGCGGGCGCTCAGTGTCATCAGGTCGGCATTGAGCGTTCTGATTCTCTGAAGCCTCAGTCTGATGTAACGAGCTGACGTAAAGTTCAAGAGCTCAGAGGTCAAATCGTCGGCTCCGGGGCGGCCGTTAATCAGGGAGGTGTGGATCTGAAAGAGAGAGACAGACAGGTCAGAGAGAGAGAGACAGGTCAGAGAGAGAGACGGGTCAGAGAGAGACAGACAAGTCAGAGAGAGAGACGGGTCAGAGAGAGACAGACAGGTCAGAGAGAGAGAGATGGGTCAGAGAGAGAGAGACGGGTCAGAGAGAGAGAGACGGGTCAGAGAGAGAGAGACGGGTCAGAGAGAGAGACAGAGACGGGTCAGAGAGAGAGAGACAGGTCAGAGAGAAAGACGGGTCAGAGAGAGAGACAGGTCAGAGAGAGAGAGATGGGTCAGAGAGAGAGAGACGGGTCAGAGAGAGAGACAGACAGGTCAGAGAGAGAGAGATGGGTCAGAGAGAGACAGAGAGAGAGAGACGGGTCAGAGAGAGAGACAGAGACGGGTCAGACAGTCAGGTCAGAGAGACAGAGACGGGTCAGAGAGAGAAAGACGGGTCAGAGAGAGAGACAGGTCAGAGAGAGAGAGAGATGGGTCAGAGAGAGAGAGACGGGTCAGAGAGAGAGAGATGGGTCAGAGAGAGAGAGATGGGTCAGAGAGAGAGACAGGTCAGAGATAGACAGACAGGTCAGAGAGAGAGACGGGTCAGAGAGAGACAGACAGGTCAGAGAGAGAGACACGTCAGAGAGAGAGACAGGTCAGAGAGAGACAGACAGGTCAGAGAGAGAGGGTCAGAGAGAGAGAGACGGGTCAGAGAGAGAGACAGACAGGTCAGAGAGAGAGAGAGAGAGAGAGAGAGACGGGTCAGAGAGAGACAGAGACGGGTCAGAGAGAGAGACGGGTCAGAGAGAGAGAGACGGTCAGAAAGAGACAGACAGGTCAGAGAGAGACAGACAGGTACAGGCAGACAGCCTGTCTCACCTCTCCATGCTCCAGCGGGTTCAGTCTGGAGTAGTAGGACGTGCAGATGACCTCGGTGTCCGTCTTGTAGGTTGGTGGTCCGAGTCTTGGCGTCACGTTATAATGAGACAAACACTCAGAATCAGTGATGGCGTAATACTGCCAGGGGTCAAAGGTCACACCGTCCAGAGAGCGCTCCAGGATCCAGTTACCTGATGGGACACAGACAGGTGATGACCTCTCTGTTGGAAACAGCGTGAATGTACAGATTTAGAGAGGTCGGAGAGACAAGCTGGTCTCACCTGGGCGAGGAGAGTTTGCGGCCTTGATGATGATGTAGGCGACCTGAAACACCTGAACACAGAACATCAGTCAGTTCAGTTACCTGGGCTGTATCACCTGGTTACTCAGAGAACTCAGGTTACATAATCAATCATCAGTCAACATCTGGATCGAGGTGTGTGTTACACCTGAACAACTGGATCGAGGTGTGTGTTACACCTGGAGCGAGGTGTGTGTTACACCTGGAGCGAGGTGTGTGTTACACCTGGATCGAGGTGTGTGTTACACCTGGATCGAGGTGTGTGTTACACCTGGATCGAGGTGTGTGTTACACCTGGACACCTGGATCGAGGTGTGTGTTACACCTGGAGTGAGGTGTGTGTTACACCTGAACACCTGGATCGAGGTGTGTGTTACACCTGGAGTGAGGTGTGTGTTACACCTGAACACCTGGATCGAGGTGTGTGTTACACCTGGAGTGAGGTGTGTGTTACACCTGGATCGAGGTGTGTGTTACACCTGGACACCTGGATCGAGGTGTGTGTTACACCTGGACACCTGGATCGAGGTGTGTGTTACACCTGGATCGAGGTGTGTGTTACACGTGGAGCGAGGTGTGTGTTACACGTGGAGCGAGGTGTGTGTTACACGTGGAGCGAGGTGTGTGTTACCTGTTTGAGGTCCAGGGTGATGGTAATCCAGTGAAACTGTCGGCCGTTCTTGATACTTGGACTTTGCCACCACTGATTCGTCCCATCGATGGCGTTTGTTATCGGATGGCGTTCTGAGCAACACACACACACACACACACACACACACAAGTACTGTTAATACTACTACATACTTGTTGTTGTACTGTTGTGTACTACAGCACTGCCATGTAGTACTTGTGTAATGTGATCATAACTTGTTGGTGAGGAGGGTGGTCTGAAGGAGGGTTACAGGAAGTCAGTCATCACTAATGATCAATAACAATTTGATGTTTAACCCCGCTTCAGCACCTGACCCAGACTCAGTCCAGCAGAGAGTATCTATAATGGGTTCTGTGTGAGGATCCCAGCCTAATGGGTCCCCTAAGCCCTGATGGGGCCCCTAACCCTCCACTGTTATTATAAAGTCACTATGCTATATAGTCTCTACTATAGAGTCAGTCCTCCTCCACCATCCTGCTGCTGGTCTAAACATACAGACACCCCACTGACCTTTACGCTGACCCCTCTGTGGTTCTGGCTTTAAAGTAAACTGGACCTGCAGTTGAAAGTGTACTCTGTGGTTGTTGTTCTGGTGTAGTACCTTTGGATAGGACGGAGTTGGCATCACATTTAGGGCAGTGCGGGTTCTTGATTCGTCGTCCTGGAACATGTTCCACCAGTTTACAGTAAACCTCAGGTTCTGGATCACCACATGTCGCATTGCTGGTAATCACTGCGTTACTCGCCAAGTTCAAGATGGCTGGGAACAGACCTGAAACACACAGCTAACTGTTAGGATCCTAAAAAAACACAGCTAACTGTTAGGATCCTAAAAAACACAGCCAGCTGTTAGGATCCTAAAAACACACAGCCAACTGTTAGCATCCTAAAACACACAGCCAACTGTTAGCATCCTAAAGCACACAGCTAACTGTTAGCATCCTAAAAAAACACAGCTAACTGTTAGGATCCTAAAAAACACACAGCCAGCTGTTAGCATCCTACAAAACACAGCCAGCTGTTAGCATCCTACAAAACACAGCCAACTGTTAGCATCCTACAAAACACAGCCAACTGTTAGCATCCTAAAAAACACACAGCCAGCTGTTAGCATCCTAAAACACACAGCCAACTGTTAGCATCCTAAAGCACACAGCTAACTGTTAGCATCCTAAAAAAACACAGCTAACTGTTAGGATCCTAAAAAACACACAGCCAGCTGTTAGCATCCTACAAAACACAGCCAGCTGTTAGCATCCTACAAAACACAGCCAACTGTTAGCATCCTACAAAACACAGCCAGCTGTTAGCATCCTACAAAACACAGCCAGCTGTTAGCATCCTACAAAACACAGCCAACTGTTAGCATCCTACAAAACACAGCCAACTGTTAGCATCCTAAAAAACACACAGCCAGCTGTTAGGATCCTACAAAACACAGCTAACTGTTAGCATCCTAAAAAGCACACAGCCAGCTGTTAGCATCCTAAAACACACAGCCAACTGTTAGGATCCTAAAACACACAGCCAACTGTTAGCATCCTAAAACACACAGCCAGCTGTTAGGATCCTAAAAAACACAGCCACCTGTTAGGATGCTAAAAAACACACAGCCAACTGTTAGGATCCTAAAAAACACACAGCCAACTGTTAGCATCCTAAAACACAGAGCCAACTGTTAGGATGCTAAAAAATACAGCCAACTGTTAGCATCCTAAAACACACAGCCAGCTGTTAGGATCCTAAAAAACACACAGCCAACTGTTAGGATCCTAAAAAACACACAGCCAGCTGTTAGCATCCTAAAACACACAGCCAACTGTTAGCATCCTAAAAAACACAGCCAACTGTTAGCATCCTAAAACACACAGCCAACTGTTAGGATCCTAAAAAACACAGCCAGCTGTTAGGATCCTAAAACACAGAGCCAACTGTTAGGATGCTAAAAAATACAGCCAACTGTTAGCATCCTAAAACACACAGCCAGCTGTTAGGATCCTAAAAAACACACAGCCAACTGTTAGGATCCTAAAAACACACAGCCAGCTGTTAGCATCCTAAAACGCACAGCCAACTTTTAGCATCCTAAAAACACAGCCAACTGTTAGCATCCTAAAACACACAGCCAACTGTTAGCATCCTAAAACACACAGCCAACTGTTAGCATCCTAAAAAACACAGCCACCTGTTAGGATGCTAAAAAAACACACAGCCAACTGTTAGGATCCTAAAAAACACACAGCCAGCTGTTAGCATCCTAAAAAACACAGCCAGCTGTTAGGATCCTAAAACACACAGCCAGCTGTTAGGATCCTAAACACACAACCAACTGTTAGGATCCTAAAAAACACAGCCAACTGTTAGCATTCTAAAACACACAGCCAACTGTTAGCATCCTAAAAAACACAGCCAACTGTTAGGATCCTAAAACACACAGCCAACTGTTAGGATCCTAAAAAACACAGCCAGCTGTTAGGATCCTAAAACACAGAGCCAACTGTTAGCATCCTAAAAAACACAGCCACCTGTTAGGATGCTAAAAAACACACACAGCCAACTGTTAGGATCCTAAAAAACACAGCCAGCTGTTAGGATCCTAAAACACACAGCCAGCTGTTAGGATCCTAAAACACACAACCAACTGTTAGGATCCTAAAAAAACACAGCCAACTGTTAGCATTCTAAAACACACAGCCAACTGTTAGCATCCTAAAAAACACAGCCAACTGTTAGGATCCTAAAACACACAGCCAACTGTTAGGATCCTAAAAAACACAGCCAGCTGTTAGGATCCTAAAACACAGAGCCAACTGTTAGGATGCTAAAAAATACAGCCAACTGTTAGCATCCTAAAACACACAGCCAGCTGTTAGGATCCTAAAAAACACACAGCCAACTGTTAGGATCCTAAAAAACACACAGCCAGCTGTTAGCATCCTAAAACACACAGCCAACTGTTAGCATCCTAAAAAACACAGCCAACTGTTAGCATCCTAAAACACACAGCCAACTGTTAGGATCCTAAAAAACACAGCCACCTGTTAGGATGCTAAAAAAAACACACAGCCAACTGTTAGGATCCTAAAAAAACACACAGCCAGCTGTTAGCATCCTAAAAAACACAGCCAGCTGTTAGGATCCTAAAACACACAGCCAGCTGTTAGGATCCTAAAACACACAACCAACTGTTAGGATCCTAAAAAAACACAGCCAACTGTTAGCATTCTAAAACACACAGCCAACTGTTAGCATCCTAAAAAACACAGCCAACTGTTAGGATCCTAAAACACACAGCCAACTGTTAGGATCCTAAAAAACACAGCCAGCTGTTAGGATCCTAAAACACAGAGCCAACTGTTAGGATGCTAAAAAATACAGCTAACTGTTAGCATCCTAAAACACACAGCCAGCTGTTAGCATCCTACAAAACACACAGCCAACTGTTAGGATCCTAAAAAACACACAGCCAACTGTTAGCATCCTAAAACACAGAGCCAACTGTTAGGATGCTAAAAAATACAGCTAACTGTTAGCATCCTAAAACACACAGCCAGCTGTTAGGATCCTAAAAAACACACAGCCAACTGTTAGGATCCTAAAAAAACACACAGCCAGCTGTTAGCATCCTAAAAAACACAGCCAGCTGTTAGGATCCTAAAACACACAGCCAGCTGTTAGGATCCTAAAACACACAACCAACTGTTAGGATCCTAAAAAACACAGCCAACTGTTAGCATTCTAAAACACACAGCCAACTGTTAGCATCCTAAAAAACACAGCCAACTGTTAGGATCCTAAACACACAGCCAACTGTTAGGATCCTAAAAAACACAGCCAGCTGTTAGGATCCTAAAACACAGAGCCAACTGTTAGGATGCTAAAAAATACAGCTAACTGTTAGCATCCTAAAACACACAGCCAGCTGTTAGCATCCTACAAAACACACAGCCAACTGTTAGGATCCTAAAAACACACAGCCAACTGTTAGCATCCTAAAACACAGAGCCAACTGTTAGGATGCTAAAAAATACAGCTAACTGTTAGCATCCTAAACACACAGCCAGCTGTTAGGATCCTAAAAAACACACAGCCAACTGTTAGCATCCTACAAAACACACAGCCAACTGTTAGGATCCTAAAAAACACACAGCCAACTGTTAGCATCCTAAAACACAGAGCCAACTGTTAGGATGCTAAAAAATACAGCTAACTGTTAGCATCCTAAAACACACAGCCAGCTGTTAGGATCCTAAAAACACACAGCCAACTGTTAGGATCCTAAAAACACACAGCCAACTGTTAGCATCCTAAAAAACACAGCCAACTGTTAGCATCCTAAAAAACACACAGCCAACTGTTAGCTTTTTTAGGATGCTGTTAGCATACTGACACTCACAGCTAGCTAGTTACAGTGAACCCCTCAGGTGTCTGAATAACTCTGAGTATGAATAAAAGAATGTCTGAGTGAGTGACTGAACTCTGTCTAGACAGATCAGGTGTTTCTGCAGGTAAACTCTCAGGTGAGTCACCATAGTTCCCTTCCTGAGGCAAACCCACCTCTGCTGATTGAGTGAGGAACTGGTTGAATGATCATCACATTGTTCTGCACTGATGACACCACAGCTTGTTAAATGTCTTCAGAAGATAAAAAATCTAATAAATAAATGTGGTTCTTTAAACATAAAGCTGTTGCATGAACTTGCATGAACGGGGGTTCTTTAAACGTGAAGCCGTTGCATGACGTGGTTCTTTAAACGTGAAGCCGTTGCATGAACGTGATTCTTTAAAACATAAAGCCTGTGCATGAACGTGGTTCTTTAAACGTGAAGCCGTTGCATGAACGTGGTTCTTTAAACGTAAAGCCGTTGCATGAACGTGGTTCTTTAAACGTAAAGCCATTGCATGAACATGGTTCTTTAAAACATAAAGCCATTGCATGAACGTGGTTCTTTAAACGTGAAGCCGTTGCATGAACGTGGTTCTTTAAACGTAAAGCCGTTGCATGAACGTGGTTCTTTAAACGTAAAGCCATTGCATGAACATGGTTCTTTAAACATAAAGCCGTTGCATGAACGTGGTTCTTTAAAACATAAAGCCGTTGCATGAACGCGGTTCATTAAACGTGAAGCCGTTGCATGAACGTGGTTCTTTAAACGTGAAGCCGTTGCATGAACGTGGTTCTTTAAAACGTGAAGCTGTTGCATGAACGCGGTTCTTTAAACGTGAAGCCGTTGCATGAACGCGGTTCATTAAACGTGAAGCCGTTGCATGAACGTGGTTCTTTAAAACATAAAGCCGTTGCATGAACGTGGTTCTTTAAACGTAAAGCCGTTGCATGAACGTGGTTCTTTAAAACATAAAGCCGTTGCATGAACGTGGTTCTTTAAACGTAAAGCCGTTGCATGAACGTGGTTCTTTAAACGTGAAGCCGTTGCATGAACGTGGTTCTTTAAACGTGAAGCCGTTGCATGAACGCGATTCTTTAAAACATAAAGCCTGTGCATGAACGTGGTTCTTTAAACGTGAAGCCGTTGCATGAACGTGGTTCTTTAAACGTAAAGCCGTTGCATGAACGTGGTTCTTTAAACATAAAGCCGTTGCATGAATGTGGTTCTTTAAAACATAAAGCCGTTGCATGAACGTGGTTCTTTAAAACATAAAGCCGTTGCATGAACGCGGTTCATTAAACGTGAAGCCGTTGCATGAACGCGGTTCATTAAACGTGAAGCCGTTGCATGAACGTGGTTCTTTAAAACATAAAGCCGTTGCATGAACGTGGTTCTTTAAACATAAAGCCGTTGCATGAACGTGGTTCTTTAAAACATAAAGCTGTTGCATGAACGTGGTTCTTTAAACGTGAAGCCGTTGCATGAACGTGGTTCTTTAAAACGTGAAGCCGTTGCATGAACGCGGTTCTTTAAACGTAAAGCCGTTGCATGAACGCGGTTCATTAAACGTGAAGCCGTTGCATGAACGTGGTTCTTTAAACATAAAGCCGTTGCATGAACGTGGTTCTTTAAACATAAAGCCGTTGCATGAACGTGGTTCTTTAAACATAAAGCTGTTGCATGAACGTGGTTCTTTAAAACATAAAGCCGTTGCATGAACGTGGTTCTTTAAACGTAAAGCCGTTGCATGAACGTGGTTCTTTAAACGTGAAGCCGTTGCATGAACGCGATTCTTTAAAACATAAAGCCTGTGCATGAACGTGGTTCTTTAAACGTGAAGCCGTTGCATGAACGTGGTTCTTTAAACGTAAAGCCATTGCATGAACGTGGTTCTTTAAACATAAAGCCGTTGCATGAACGTGGTTCTTTAAAACATAAAGCCGTTGCATGAACGTGGTTCTTTAAACATAAAGCCGTTGCATGAACGTGGTTCATTAAACGTGAAGCCGTTGCATGAACATGGTTCTTTAAACGTGAAGCCGTTTTATGAACGGGTTCCTTAAACAGTGGAATCAGCTTGTTGTGTCTGTTGCTTCACCTTCAACAGGGAACTCTCTGAAACTGTTTTGAAATAACAAACCGTGCCGAGTTGCTGAGAACGTCAGAGAAAGTCAAAATTTGAACGTCATCAGTGACAAAGACAACACACAGACGTGTTAATTAGTGCTGTGTGTGGGCAGCTGTGGAGGCGTGATAGCATCAGCTGGGTGGTCTGTCTCACACTCAGAGGTTTGTTGTGGGAACGCTCAGACCTGCATTTGTCTCCAGGTGCTTCAGTGCAGACGTCTGTTCCAGACACACAGACCGGTGGGTTCTGTTCTGTGGGTCACAATCAGGTTTGTTGCCAGGTTCATTGGTTCAGTGCTTAGCGTGTGGAACATGTTCTGCAGATGTAAAGAGTTCTGCAGGTGGTGGATCAGCGAGGAGAAAGCAATAAAAAATCATTCACAGTTTGTTTTTTCTAACCGAAGCAGGTTAGCAGGTGAAACATCCTCTAACAGAGTCGGAACCAGCAGTGAGACCACTACCTGCCCAACCCTAAACCCGGTCTTTATCCTGAAGCTGGGGGACTTGCTTGTTGTCCCATGAAGAAGGCGAGTCCCTCACAGTGTGAGCAGACCCGTGTCCCCACAACATGAGTAGAAGCTGCTGATCTTCAGCCCTGAGATAAGGTCGGCCCTACAGTCGGTGTGTCTGGCTGTATGCAGAGTGACCTCTGACCCTCCCCCACCCACACACATGCAGCAGCTCCGGGGGAGGCGATGTGGACTGTGGGGGTTAGGGTTTTAGTGTGGGGGGTGGAGAGGAAGAGGAGCAGTGTTGACACTAATTATCACACAGACACACAGGGGGTTCCCAGCAGGACCCCCGCCCCCCCCGGTCAGATCTGAGATGCTGGACCAGGCTGGACTGCAGGAGCTACAGGGGAACTCCTGACACAGATTGGTACACACCGAGTTCATGACAAAGAATTCACCTTCATATCTTCAGCATCTGAAACCATCACTGCAGCTAACAGAGCTAACTGCTGTGTGTCTGCATCATGTCCCTTGAAGGGAACAAACTGAAGCAGCCTGACCAGTTCAGATCCTTCACACCACCAACATCTGAAATCTATCCTCTAACAGAACTCAGCAGAGCCCAACAGAACTCAGAAAAATGAAAATAAGTCAAATGAATTTAACAGAAGTCAAGGAAACAGAACTTAAAAGAACTCAGCAGAACTCAGGAGAAGTTAACAGAACTCAGTAGAAGTCAGAAACAGGGTTCTCACCTCTCTGCTGAGCTGCAGCTCGCTCCATCAACAGCAACAACAGCAGCAGCTTCATCTCTGCAAACCTGGACCTGAGCTGGACTGAGCTGAACTGAGTGGACCCTGAGCTGGACCTAAGCAGTCCTCTGTGGTAGCTGGCAGAATGAATGTAGAGCAGAGGAATGTGTTGCTGCAGAGTCTCTGATGGCATGCCACTGTGAGTCTAGCTCGCTCCACCCCCTCTCTCTCTCTCATTCATTCAGCTCAATAAGAGGGGTGGGGGTGGGCCGTACCACCTGATCTGCACATGGGGGTGGGCCAGTCTCCCCTGTGAAGGTGGTCTCCCTGCTGTAAAGATGTTGACCAGCTTCTCTATTTAGTGGATTGATAGTCGTCCCGTAGAGTCCACTCGGTCCCGGATCAATCCCTTCACTCTGAGCTGTAGACCAGCATCACATCATGTTCCTCCTGGGGGACCCGGCCGGAGTGGAAAGGGTTAAGTCACGCAGAAACCGCGGGCTGGTCCTTTAACCCCCATTCAGCTCATTGTCTGAGCCGGCCGTACCATCTGTGAGCTGGGGGGGGGGTAGTTCTGCTCTCCTAGCTGAAGCTGTGTGAGGCGCTGCGAGGGAAACAGCAGCACAACCAAAGGTGTTTAATGATCGATAAACTGTCTGAGGGAGAACGTTTCCTCCTGGGGTTCCCTCTGCAGCACCACGACTGTAACCATAAAAAAGCAGAGGTGCGAAGAGTACTAAAATACTTAAGTACTATTACTCTGATGATCTTTTACTTAAGTACAAGTAAAGTTAACGGTATAAAAATCTACAGAAGGAGAAAGTTGCATTTAAAGTTACTTTTCTAAGCTTCTAAAATAATTTATTTATACTGATTTAATAACGTGTTTATACTTGAACTTGAATTAAACTGTAATATCTGATTTAATAACTTGTTTATACTTTAACTTTAATTAAATTGTAATTTCTGTTGTAATAACGTGTTTATAATTTAACTTTAATTAAACTGTAATATCTGATTTAATAACTTATTTATACTTGAACTTGAATTAAACTGTAATATCTGATTTAATAACTTGTTTATACTTTAACTTTAATTAAATTGTAATTTCTGTTTTAATAACTTGTTTATACTTGAATTAAACTGTAATATCTGATTTAATAACTTGCTTATACTTGAATTAAACTGTAATATCTGATTTAATAACTTGTTTATACTTGAACTTTAATTAAACTGTAATATCTGATTTAATAACTTGTTTATACTTGAACTTTAATTAAACTGTAATATCTGATTTAATAACTTATTTATACTTGAACTTGAATTAAACTGTAATATCTGATTTAATAACTTGTTTATACTTTAACTTTAATTAAATTGTAATTTCTGTTTTAATAACATGTTTATACGTTAACTTTAATTAAATTGTAATTTCTGTTTTAATAACTTGTTTATACTTGAATTAAACTGTAATATCTGATTTAATAACTTGTTTATACTTGAATTAAACTGTAATATCTGATTTAATAACTTGTTTATACTTGAACTTTAATTAAACTGTAATATCTGATTTAATAACTTATTTATACTTGAACTTGAATTAAACTGTAATATCTGATTTAATAACTTGTTTTTTAACTTTAATTAAATTGTAATTTCTGATTTAATAACATGTTTATACGTTAACTTTAATTAAATTGTAATTTCTGTTTTAATAACTTGTTTATACTTGAATTAAACTGTAATATCTGATTTAATAACTTGTTTATACTTGAATTAAACTGTAATATCTGATTTAATAACTTGTTTATACTTGAACTTTAATTAAACTGTAATATCTGATTTAATAACGTGTTTACACTTGAACTTGAATTAAACTGTAATATCTGATTTAATAACTTGTTATACTTTAACTTAATTAATTGTAATTTCTGATTTAATAACATGTTTATACGTTAACTTTAATTAAATTGTAATTTCTGTTTTAATAACTTGTTTATACTTGAATTAAACTGTAATATCTGATTTAATAACTTGTTTATACTTGAATTAAACTGTAATATCTGATTTAATAACTTGTTTATACTTGAACTTTAATTAAACTGTAATATCTGATTTAATAACGTGTTTACACTTTAAATTTTAAGTTTGCTAAGGAAACTAAGCCAATGTTAGTTTGTTTGACAAACTCTTTGCCAATCAAAGGAGCAAAACAACGTTAGAGACAGTTTAAGGAGAAGTCTGAGAATGTTTTCGCTTTGTTAGGAAACAGATCAGACTCTGAGGGCCCCACTGGACTCTATATGAAATCACATCCCTTTTTACATTCAGACAGGTGCTCATTTTAATGGGACAACATGAGTGTTAGTCTAATAAATAACTAGTTAGCAGCAGGCTGCTAACGCCAACCAACACATGCATCGATGTCTTTCTGGAGCACAGCATCTTCCCAAACTATGACAACTTATTTTACCCACCAGTGGAAGTACTGAGCTCCACATCAGGGGTCCTCAGCCTCATCTGCTCTAACAGACACTGTGGGGCCGGACTGACAAAATAATATCCATATTACTGTTTAATAACGTTTTTATATGGGTGAGAACAGACTACAAACATGGTGGCCTGAACCTGAAGATGCTCTCTGCAGCCAGCAGTTCACTCGGGAGGGATGGTTCAGATCTGACAGTGTAACTGTCATGAGGTGCTTGTGAGGTGCTTGTGAGGTGCTCGTCAGGTGGAGGTGTAACTGTGACTCTGATTGGCATGATTTATTGTTGTTATTGTTGTTGTTGTGCAGGAGACACCTGGTCTTGGCAGCTAAACAGACTGTTACTGGTAGTTTCCATATCTGTCTTCCTGCTGCACTCAGCAGTGAAAGCAGCTAGTTACCTGCTGAAGGAGGAGGTGTGCAGCCTCAGCCTGAGCACGCGGGAGGGGGAGAGTGCTGCAGCGCCCCTGGTGGCAGGGAGGAACACACGGTGCTGACCACATAATGAGCTGCAGGTCAAAGCTCCGGGTGACCTTACAGCCTGATGACGTCAGCAGCTGTTGGCTTTGTCAGATTACAGGAGCCGCACGGTGATGGGCGGAGCAGCTCAGACTCTTTTCTTTGAAAGTGCCTGTGGTGAGTTGAGGCGGGGTGCCGGGCTGTAGGTGTTGGTGCTGCGTTCATTAACATTTCTTTGGCTTTTGGAACAAATGTTAATGAACACACCCACACCTACAGCACAGCCCTCAGCCCCCCCCCCCCCCCCCCCGCAGCCCTGCTAACTCTGCAGGTGGTTTCTTTATTGTGCTGATGTTCCAGTGTTTTCTTTGACGGTCTGCTTCCATGATCAGAGAGGCTGGTGTCGGTCATTTTAAGGTTTCCATGGGCGCAGTAACATCACAGCTAAACTAAACACAGTAGTTACTAGTAGTAGGTACTTGACAGGAAACAGAAGTCACCTTTTAGCTTCTGAAATGATTGAGACGCTCTGATGGAGCTCAGGGTGGATGAACCTGGACTGAGTGGCAGATCTGTCTGACTGATCTTGTCGGCGTGTTTAAATATGACGTTACGCTGCTGTGCCTCGTGCGTAAATGCGTACAGCGTCTCTTTTAATGGGGAGACAGTGCTGCTCTGCAGTTGGAGGTGCTTGTATGGTGCTTGTGAGGTGGAGGTGCTCGTGAGGTGCTCGTCAGGTGGAGGTGCTTGTGAGGTGCTCGTGAGATGGAGGTGCTTGTGATGTGCTTGTGAGGTAGAGGTGCTTGTGAGGTGGAGGTGCTTGTGAGTTGGAGGTGCTCATGAGTCGGAGGTGCTTGTAAGGTGCTTGTGAGGTGCTCATCAGGTGGAGGTGCTCATGAGGTGCTTGTGAGGTGCTCGTCAGGTGGAGGTGCTCGTGAGGTGGAGGTGCTTGTGAGATGCTTGTGAGATGCTTGTACCTTGTGATATGCTTGTGAGGTGGAGGTGCACGTGAGGTGCTTATAAGTTGGAGGTGCTCATGAGTTGGAGGTGCTTGTAAGGTGCTTGTGAGGTAGAGGTGCTTGTGAGTTGAAGGTGTTCATTAGTCGGAGGTGCTTGTAAGGTGCTTGTGAGGTGGAGGTGCTTGTGAGTTGAAGGTGTTCATTAGTCAGAGGTGCTTGTAAGATGCTTGTGAGGTGGAGGTGCTCGTGAGGTGCTTGTGAGTTGGAGGTGCTTGTAAGGTGCTCATGAGGTGGAGGTGCTTGTGAATTGAAGGTGCTCATGAGTCGAAGTGCTTGTAAGGTGCTTGTGAGTTGGAGGTGCTTGTAAGGTGCTTGTGAGATGCTTGTACCTTGTGAGATGCTTGTGAGGTGGAGGTGCTTGTGAGGTGGAGGTGCTTGTGAGATGCTTGTGAGATGCTTGTACCTTGTGAGATGCTTGTGAGGTGGAGGTGCTCGTGAGGTGGAGGTGCTTGTGAGCTGGAGGTGCTCATGAGTCGGAGGTGCTTGTGAGGTGCTTGTGAGGTGCTTGTGAGGTGCTTGTGAGTTGAAGGTGTTCATTAGTCGGAGGTGCTTGTAAGGTGCTTGTGAAGTGGAGGTGCTCGTGAGGTGCTTGTGAGTTGGAGGTGCTTGTAAGGTGCTCATGAGGTGGAGGTGCTTGTGAGTTGAAGGTGCTCATGAGTCGAAGTTGCTTGTAAGGTGCTTGTGAGGTGGAGGTGCTCGTGAGTTGGAGGTTCTTGTAAGGTGCTTGTGAGGTGGAGGTGCTTGTGAGATGGAGGTGCTTGTGATGTGCTTGTGAGGTAGAGGTGCTTGTGAGGTGGAGGTGCTCGTGAGTTGGAGGTGCTTGTAAGGTGCTTGTGAGGTGGAGGTGCTTGTGAGGTGCTCGTGAGATGGAGGTGCTTGTGATGTGCTTGTGAGGTGGAGGTGCTTGTAAGGTGCTTGTGAGGTGGAGGTGCTTGTGAGGTGCCGTGAGATGGAGGTGCTTGTGATGTGCTTGTGAGGTAGAGGTGCTTGTAAGGTGCTTGTGAGGTGGAGGTGCTTGTGAGGTGCTCGTGAGATGGAGGTGCTTGTGATGTGCTCATGAGTCGGAGGTGCTCGTGAGGTGCTTGTGAGGTGGAGGTGCTCGTGAGGTGGAGGTGCTTGTGAGATGCTTGTGAGATGCTTGTACCTTGTGAGATGCTTGTGAGGTGGAGGTGCTCGTGAGGTGCTCGTGAGGTGGAGGTGCTTGTGAGGTGCATGTGAGGTGCTTGTGAGTTGGAGGTGCTCATGAGTCGGAGGTGCTTGTAAGGTGCTTGTGAGGTGGAGGTGCTCGTAGTTGGAGGTGCTTGTAAGGTGCTTGTGAGGTGGAGGTGCTTGTGAGGTGCTCATGAGTCGGAGGTGCTTGTAAGGTGCTTGTGAGGTGGAGGTGCTCGTAAGTTGGAGGTGCTTGTAAGGTGCTTGTGAGGTGGAGGTGCTTGTGAGGTGGAGGTGCTTGTGAGATGCTTGTGAGATGCTTGTACCTTGTGAGATGCTTGTGAGGTGGAGGTGCTCGTGAGGTGCTCGTGAGGTGGAGGTGCTTGTGAGGTGCTTGTGAGGTGCTTGTGAGTTGGAGGTGCTCATGAGTCGGAGGTGCTTGTAAGGTGCTTGTGAGGTGGAGGTGCTCGTAAGTTGGAGGTGCTTGTAAGGTGCTTGTGAGGTGGAGGTGCTTGTGAGGTGCTCATGAGTCGGAGGTGCTTGTAAGGTGCTTGTGAGGTGGAGGTGCTCGTAAGTTGGAGGTGCTTGTAAGGTGCTTGTGAGTGGAGGTGCTTGTGAGGTGCTCGTGACATAGAGGTGCTTGTGATGTGCTTGTGAGGTAGAGGTGCTTGTAAGGTGCTTGTGAGGTGGAGGTGCTCGTAAGTTGGAGGTGCTTGTAAGGTGCTTGTGAGGTGGAGGTGCTTGTGTGGTGCTCGTGACATGGAGGTGCTTGTGATGTGCTTGTGAGGTAGAGGTGCTTGTAAGGTGCTTGTGAGGTGGAGGTGCTTGTGAGTTGGAGGTGCTTGTAAGGTGCTTGTGAGGTGCTCATGAGATGGAGGTGCTTGTGAGGGCTCATCAGGTGGAGGTGCTCATGAGGTGCTTGTACCTTGTGAGATGCTTGTGAGGTGGAGGTGCTTGTGAGGTGGAGGTGCTTGTGAGATGCTTGTGAGATGCTTGTACCTGTGATGCTTGTGAGGTGGAGGTGCTCGTGAGGTGGAGGTGCTTGTGAGCTGGAGGTGCTCATGAGTCGGAGGTGCTTGTGAGGTGCTTGTGAGGTGCTTGTGATTGAAGGTGTTCATTAGTCGGAGGTGCTTGTAAGGTGCTTGTGAAGTGGAGGTGCTCGTGAGGTGCTTGTGAGTTGGAGGTGCTTGTAAGGTGCTATGAGGTGGAGGTGCTTGTGAGTTGAAGGTGCTCATGAGTCGAAGTTGCTTGTAAGGTGCTTGTGAGGTGTGAGGGCTCGTGAGTTGGAGGTTCTTGTAAGGTGCTTGTGAGGTGGAGGTGCTTGTGAGATGGAGGTGCTTGTGATGTGCTTGTGAGGTAGAGGTGCTTGTGAGGTGGAGGTGCTCGTGAGTTGGAGGTGCTTGTAAGGTGCTTGTGAGGTGGAGGTGCTTGTGAGGTGCTCGTGAGAGGAGGTGCTTGTGATGTGCTTGTGAGGTGAGGTGCTTGTGAAGTGCTCGTGAGGTAGAGGTGCTAGTGAGATGGAGATGCTTGTGAGGGCTTGTGTGGTGGAGGTGCTTATGAGGTGCTTGTGAGATGGAGGTGCTTGTGAGGTGCTCGTGAGGTGGAGGTGCTTGTGTGGTGGAGGTGCTTATGAGGTGCTAGTGAGATGGAGGTGTGGTGATGTGCTCGTGAGGTGGAGGTGCTTGTGAGGTGGAGGTGTAATGTACCGGGAGGGTGCGGTTCTATTAGGTTGGTCTGTCTAATGCTAGAACCACTTTAGCACACAGCTCTTGGGAATCTAAGTCTACATATCAGTCAGTCATCATGAGGGGCCAGGATAATTTATATCTGATGTGACCTGGCTTCATCTTCACAGCTGCACGCTGCCAATTCTGGTGCTTGTGAGATGCTTGTGAGATGCTTGTACCTTGTGAGATGCTTGTGAGGTGGAGGTGCTCGTGAGGTGCTTGTGAGGTGGAGGTGCTTGTGAGGTGGAGGTGCTTGTGAGTTGGAGGTGCTCATGAGTCGGAGGTGCTGGTAAGGTGCTTGTGAGGTGGAGGTGCTTGTGAGGTGCTGAGATGGAGGTGCTTGTGATGTGCTTGTGAGGTAGAGGTGCTTGTAGGTGCTTGTGAGTGGAGGTGCTTGTAAGGTGTTTGTGAGGTGCTCATGAGATGGGGCTTGTATGTGCTCATCAGGTGGAGTGCTTGTAAGGTGCTTGTGAGGTGGAGGTGCTTGTAAGGTGCTTGTGAGGGCTCATGAGATGGAGGTGCTTGTGATGTGCTCATCAGGTGGAGGTGCTCGTGAGGTGCTTGTACCTTGTGAGATGCTTGTGAGGTGGAGGTGCTCGTGAGGTGGAGTGCTTGTGAGCTGGAGGTGCTCATGAGT